GGGATTTTTTGGGGAGTATTTTTAGGGGGGTCTTTTGTGCCTCTGTCTCTGTTGAAAAAGTATCCACAGTGGTATAGGACAGAGAGATGGACAAAATAACCTTTTTGTGAAGGGGTAGGACTCCACAGAAGTAAATAAAAATGAATTGTCCCTTGTTCTGCTGCACTGTGCAGGTCTGGACCTGTGATCTGGGAGCATGAGGTGGTCTCAGAAAGGAGAATTAGCAACCCAAGGGCTGCCCAAACCAGGTAGAGCCATAGAAACCTGTTAAAGCCCTGTTTTGTCAATGAATTGAGTTTTAAAGCTGATGAAATCAGTGCTTAACATTGAGTCACCTGCTGTGGGGTTTTCCTTGTTTTAGAGTTCTAAAGAAGGAACTGTAGTTATTTATTTGCTGGATATTTACAAGTCAGCTGTAAGTTTTTTTCTGCTGTTTTAGAAGCCATTTCATATCCCATGGGAAGATGTGCAGGAGCAATTATTCCTGTGCATTTTGTGCCACGATGCATGGAGCCTTTTTCCCTATGTAGTGTCCTGTGTGAGATTTTTGCTGTCCTGGTGACATTTTACTTTGTTACTATTGCCAATCAAAAGGCCAGTCCTATGCTGGAGTACACAGATGCAGAGATACACAAAGATACACTTTGTAATCACTTTTGCAACTGAGTTTATTTCTGTTGTGTTACAAGATCCGCCCTGAAACAAGAGAAGGAAACTTTGGGAATTAAAATGGGTCACTAACAAACTGTTCCTGGTGAACTGGTGAGGAATTTCTGTCAGGCAGGGCATGTGATGGTCGCTTTATGAGCTGTCACAACAAAAACAAATCCACCCTCTGCGTGCCAGAGTGAGTCAAGTGCAGTGATCCTTTCCAGCCAGGAGCCCTGCTACCACAAAAAACAGGGTGATGAAATGATTGTTGGCAATCCTAATCTGCCACGTTGGGGTTGTAATAATAATAATAATAATGGTCAGGATTTTTTTTTTAGCAAGCTTATGTTGTGTTCTTGAAAAAGACGGGATTTTTCTTGCAGGTTTTTGACTGGCTTTCTCTAAAGTGGGGCAGGTTGGCTCTCTCCTGGTGCTCAGGCTGATCTTTCATGGAGGCAGTCTGGGTTTCTGCCTCTGGTGTTTGTCCTGAAACTCCCTTTTCACGTCAGTTCTGCATCTTGCAGTCCTTTGCACCCATCTTTGCATGTGCAGGAGCAATCCAGCGAGACCTCAACCTCACAAAACCAGGGCACGACGTCTCCAGAGCTCTGGGAGTGCTGCTCTACTATATTTGGAACCAGCTCTATTGCTTCTATAATAGGAAGGCTTCTGGAAGCTTTCTCCTTCCTCTCGCCCCAAGAAAGTGGCCTTTCAGCTGAGCTTTCATTAATTCACAATCTGCATGGCCAAACAGATGGAGTTTTATAGGCTAAATAATTCAGATGTGCCTCGTGGGTCGTGTGGCCTCGAGTGTGGGGAGTTCAGGGAGGATTTCTGTCCGTGCCCCGTGAGCTGAAGGTGCAGCAGCCACAGCCCCACTCACAGGGGCTCTGCCACCCCCAGTTTGTCATTCGGGGCATGTGACAATGCCAAGGGGTGCCAAGGCAGCTTTCTAGAAAGCAGAGTGATGTGTGAGCCCCGTGTGTTTGTCACCAGAGCTGCAGCAGCACTGCCCACTGAGGGATTTAGTGGTTTTGTTTTCCTCTTGGAGGAGGCAGAACAAATCTAATGAGCCAGTTCTTAACTTCTTCCCAGCTGAGCAGCGAGTGATGTTCTTACCCAATTTGTGCAAGGCAGCTGAAACCTTTCAGGAATAGCTGAACAAGGGAAACACTTGTAATATTATTTTTCCCAATACTCATGCAGGGCTAAGAGGGTGCAGCAGAGCTTGTCTTTATTTTCTTTTTCCCTTCTGAGATTTTCCTTTTGAGAGGACAACTTAGTCCTTCCAACTCTTACCCCACCTAGAGAGAAAGCATGTGAACCACAAATGTGGAGCCTTTCATTCTTTCTTGACGTGGTCTTGGAAGGAAAACAGGTTCTCCCTGTAGTGCTTCATTGGAATAAGCATTTCACATGCTTATCAGTACAGCAAGTAGTGCTGTTTGACAGCCCTGAGGAGTCAGATGTTGCCTTGGAGCCCTACATGCTCATTTCCCTGCTTCTGAAACGCTCTGCACTTTGCCCACGGTGCATTCAGAAGTGTTCCTTTCCACTGAAAGGACCTAAAACCCACTTTGTAGCAAACACATTTTCCAGCATGATTCCAGGTGTGGATTGGAGATGGCTGAGTGCAGTCTGAGTTTCTGAGAACCTTGTCTTGCTGGGCTTTGTGAGTTCCTGCCAGGCCAGGGGTAAATGGGTTCAGGGAGCTGACCACTTTGGGTTAATTCTGCCTGGTCCAGCTCCTTGGGAGGCTTCAGGTGAGAAATCAGACAGGGAGGCAGTGCTGAGAAAGGGGAAGGTGTGAAAGAATAAACAGGCTCAGCTCCTGGAGTCTTTCCTCATCAAAGAGGTGCTGCAGACCCCTCACTGTCTTTGTGGCCTCTGCTGGTTCTGCTTACATGGGAATCTTTGTTTTCATTTGAATTGCTGCTCTGTCTGGTGGGATCCAAGGATGGGAGCTTGGAGGAGCTCTGGGAGGGAAGGGCTGGAGTGAATTTGGTGGGGAAACGAAACCAGGTCCTGCTGCTCTGCCAGCTCTGGGTCCTGGTGCTTGGCAGAAGTGCCATCAGCTGCTTTTGGTGTGGGAGTAGACACAGGAAACTCCCCCACGCTAATTCCAGCTGGAGCCCCTGTGGCAGTTCCATTGCCTTTAGATCAGATCATACCAGATCTGATGGACCATCACAGGGGAAGCTGAGCACACGAGGTTTCACGAGGCAAATGATGCCTGTGATGGCTCCTTTAGGGTTAAAAGGCAGTTCTTTAGGTGTTTCAAATATGTAAATATTACCTGAAGAGTGGTTAAAAAAGAAATGGTGTGTTCCTGTAGGTTTTTGAGGGGCTGAGGACCTGGTGTGTCAATCACCTCATTTCAGACCTAGCCTGGGAGCTGCTGGGGATCCTTCCCAGTGGGAGTGCTGGGATGGGAAAAGACTTTGTGGCAAAGCCTCTTGCTTAGGAGAGTCTGGTGCTGTTAGAGGTGTCCTGAGGGTTGTTTGGAGAGGGAGGGATGACTTGGCTGGGGGATGGCAGAATTGCATGTCTGGTGAATTAACTCTTTTGGAGACAAGGGTCATGTAACAACCTAAGATTGAGCTCCGTTGTGGAAGAATGGACATGGAACATGGCTCTTGCAAGAAAACAAATACCCATATCATATTATAAAGCCTTACCACTGACTTTTTCCACCCTAATGACTGTTTTTGTTGTTAACTCCTCTGAGTTCTGCTCTGAAACACTTGCTGCTGCTTCCTTCTGCATCCTGAGCCTGCTGATGCTTTTGCCCAGCTGATCCAGAGTGACATCCCTATGGAACATCCCAAAGCTTGCCCTGCATGGAGGTGGGGTGGTCAAATGTGTTTTTACACATGTTTTTACCAACAGGGCAGTTGTTGCTCAGATCCAGTCCCGAGGCCATGGCCTCCTTTCAAGAAAGTAAATTTTTTGAGAGGATGTGCCCACCCTTTGAACTGGTTTGTTGATCAGTTACTGTTGCTACAGCTAAAACACACTTGCACTTGCACTAATCAAAATATCAAAAGCTGTGGTGAATTGCTACACAGATGGGGAGACCTTGACTGCAGCCTGGTTGGGTTGATACATTTGTTTTTCTAGGCTGCAGCAGTGCTCAAACCTGGTGATAAGACAGGGAATTTTGTGGGCTCGTTCCCTGAGTCCGTCAGCGGCTGAGAGGATGTGATGCTTTCTGCTGCCAAAACCAGAGTCCTTCCCACATCTTGTGCAGAAAGGCATATGTTTGGGGGTGGTTTCAGAGAGGGAGAAGAACATGATTAGGGTTTTAACTTCCTCTTCTGTTTTGTTTCTCTGTGCATCTGTATTTCAGTTTTTTGGGCTGTACCTGACTCTGTGCAAAACTTAAATCGGCTGCAGCTCCTTCTGCTAAGGATCAGCCTTGGTACAGAAACAGTGGTAGTTAAAAGGCAGTAAGTATATCTGCTAGCTTAAATGCTGGGTTGGGTTTTTTTTCCCTCTCTTTTCCTTTTTTTTTAATTCACAAGCACAGCTTTTTACTCCTCACACAGTAGGAATTTGTCAGGAGCTTGCCTGGCATTAATAGTCTATTTCAACTCTTTTCTATAGCCCAGCAGCTACAGAGGGGGGGAAAAAGCATGCTTTGTATGGAGCTGTGGTTGGGTCTGTGCTGCAGTGCCCATCTGAACTTGGCTGTGTCTATTTTGTCAGCTTCTGCTTCCCTCTGGTAGTTGCTGGTCCCTTCCTAAACTCACGAAATCCCACCAGACAATGCCTGTGCTTGGATCAGGGTTCTGGCTGCTCCTGACCTGAACCACTTCTCTTGATGGTTTTGCTTCTCGAGCTCTTTACTGCAAACAAGATATCTTTGAGTTTCAATTCTTTGTATGGCTTTTTATCTTTTACTTCTCAATTGATCTCCAAAGGAGTGGGACTAGGACAAAACATGTGGTATTCTTAACCAGGGATCCATGGCGAGGGTGTAAGCTGTTGGAAAAGTGAGTGGCATTCTTGAAATGATGTGGTTGCGTTTATTTGGGTGTGGATATAATCATGCTTCTGTGATACAGTTCCTGCTGAGTTTGAAATGCTAGTGTTAGTAAAGCCAGAAGGAGAGCCAGACAAAAGCTTGGAGAAAAGTCAGGATTTCAGTGCCTTTTAGTGATGGCTCATGGGAAAGTAATGATTTTGTGTTTGATTTTCCTAAAGCACCGGGCATATGCTTTTTCTTCTCTGTGAATTATTGTTTGTGAATATATATCTTTACAGCATGAGAACATCAGAAACACCTGGTTTTGTGCCTAGGTTTCACTCATAGAGGTAGGTCCTTGTTAGAGACTCTGGGTAGTCTGATGAAAATGGTGTTTAACTACAAAGCTTCAATTTCTGCTGTTGCTGATCGTGGCAGCCTAATTCCTGGTCTGCCTGAATCCCTGGAGCAGAGGACATGCTCTCCTCCTCCTGCTCTGCCACTGCCCTGCCTCCGTCTCCTCCACCCCACACGTTTCTTAGCCTTGTGTAGAGCTCAGCAGAGATTTCTTCATGAAGACTGGAATGTGTTTATATAATATTTTATATATTATTTTAGGCTCCTGCTACTCAAATATAGGCAAACGCTTAACCTCTTATTCGCCATCGTTAGATGAACTGTGGAATTGCTGTAGGAGACATCAAGTCAGGTGGATCTAAACCAGCTTCTGTTTTTCCTGCCTGGAAGGTTCATCCTTCATCATTTCCCTGGCAAGTGTGGCTACCAAGAGCAGGTTTTCCAGGCCAGGAGTGTTTAGTGGGAGCGTTGTTTGTGACCCACACTGGTGAAGCAGTGCTGGGCTGGGCACAGTGTGGGCTCTTCTGTGTGGGAGGCATTGGGAAGGGGGTGATGTGAGCGGGCTCAGTCTCTGCAAAAGCAGGGGTAGGACAGCAGTAGGAACACTGGGCAGAGCTGCTGAAAAGGAGAGAACAACCTGCTGCACTAAATCACAGCTCCCCTGGGGACACAGCTCCATAGTTAGCATCCTCAAACGGCATTCCTTTATTACGGCATCATTGTGCACAGCCCTCTAGAGAGGAAGCAAACGGTCTCTAAAACAATCTGCTGGCAGCTCAGGCTGGAGTGTTTGAGGTTTTCCAGGGCTCTTTTGCTGTGTCACTCTTCCCTTTAATGTTCCAGCTTGAAGGTTGTTGTTCTTTCTCTATCAAAGTGCGTTAAAGTGCCGGTAAGGGTGTCTGCTCCAAGGACAAGGTGGAGAAGGCAGCAGCCCAGAGAGAACAAGAGATACTGCAGAACAGCTTTGTTCTGGTGTAATCTGTCTTATCTGCATGTGATGCAAAGACAGGGCAGTTTTCACAAGGCTTGGAGGCTGCGTGGTGACATGTTTTCTGTCCTTTTATAAAATCCACCACGTTATTTTGATTAGAGCGCTAACGTAACTCCTGGCAGCCTCAAATCTCACTGCTAGCAGCTACTTCCCTCCAAAAGGCTGATGTGGTGCTAACAAGCAGAGAGATCTTGTGCGTCCTGTTTACATGGAGCTGGGAAGACAGCGTGTTCCGTGGGAGGTGCCAAGGTAGAGCTGCAGTGGATATAAGGTGAAAAAACTCTGTGTGTGTAGACAGGCTGTGGTGGGGCGTGTTCATTTGTGTTTGGTGGTGTTCAGGAACTCCAGGTGCAACACTGGCATGATGATGTTAAGTTCTTTTATATCTGAATATGTATCTTTTATATCTATGCATGTGTAGCATGTTTGTGTTTGTATATATTTATATTTATATCTATTCTCTCTCATGGGAAAGTCCATGTCCCGATCATCTGCTCTTGTGATCTGCTCATGTAGCTCTCTGTTGTTCAGTTTTTAGGTGGCAGAGACACGGTGAAGCTGAGTGTGGGGCAGGCAGAGCTGATGGGGGAGCCTGGGGTGTAGCCCAGGATGGACTGGCTGTGACGACGACGTGCCTTAGCCGGAGAGGTCGTTACCATGAAGAGTTCCTGCAGAGCTGGCCTCCACAGGGAACCGCTCAATTCCACATCCTCCACCTTCCATCAAGTCAAACGGTACGGACACGCTGCCTGCTCTGCCTGCAGCTGAGGGTTCTGCACTGATTTTAGCCTTCTCCTTGTTCTCTCCTGTTGTCTTGTGCTGTCACTCAAATGTTTGATCGAAATTCTGACTTTCGGGTGGTGTTTAAGCAAAACGTTGTAATGGCTTAAGGGCAGAAATGTTCTTTGACGTTTTTATTTGATAATGACAACTGCAGAGTCACTGCAGCTGGTAGTGTACTTGCAGAAATCCTTGGGTTTTCTAGCAACAGCTGTAAATTGGTTTGGGAAACATGACTTTGAAGTAAAACTTAATTGGCGAAAGGCTCATCGGAGTAGGCTTTAAAACATGCAGGCAGCTTAAAGAGAGTGGAAATGCTGGCAGTCATTGTTGTGGTTTGTCTTACTATGGACTAAGTAATTAGATTAGTTTAAGCTCAGATTTTGCATTGCTCACTCTCCTGTGTCTCTTATTAAGGAGAAATGCACGATTGATTTCAAACACTTGTGCTTATGTGACAATTAAGTGAACGCCTCTCACTGTGTCTCCTTATAGGAACACCATGCAGAACAACTTGTCCTCATGCAAATGCGAGGACATGCCAGTTTGTTGGAGTTCAAGCTACTTCAAAATGTGTATTTTTTTAAAAATCCTTTTTCTGAAACCAAGGCTCTTAAACTTCCTCAGTCTGGAGGAAGAGTGCCAGCTTTTTGGTTTCCAAAGGCTGTGTGGGTTTAAAGCAAACTTTTAACCTTTGTTCTTTGTGGTTATGTAGACAGCATATACTTGCTATGTTAGTCTCATGGTAATTTAGTGCTGGAAAAGACTTCCTGGGTCACACAGCTCCTTGCTTTCCCAAGCAGGCTCTCATAATCCCTTTTGTGAACTTAGTCCAGCCTAAAAACATTTACATCTTGCATCTTTTCTTCTTTCCTCCTGTAGATCAAGCCATTACTGAAGATGACAGATCTTGCTGTGCAATTAGGAACCTTCTTTTCATTCCCAGGCTGAACATTCATGACAGTTTATAGACTCATTTGAGTTTATCTTCCTTTATTTGCCTTCTGCCTCAGGACTGCTGCTTATTTTCAGTGGTTTACCTCTTCTTCTGCATTCTGTAAGAAGGGGTTGTACCCTCACCTGTGGTTTTGCTAAGTGACCCAAGTGTTCTCTAGTAGCTTCCTGAGCAGCAATTGCTGCTGTTCTCAGTGTGATGCCCCTCACAGAATATTCTCAGCCCTGGCTAAAAGTGTGTGCTGTGCTCTGGAGCTGCTCTGGCTGCAGGGCTTCTTACAGCATCACCTCCACTTCTTATTTCATGGATGTCTCTGTGGTAGCCAGTTCACCTCAGTTACTTCCAAAATTTGTTGGTGTTCCTCTTGCTGATGCATCACTGCCTGCGTTTCAAAACCCTCCTCAGTTTCTGTTACTTGGAGCTTTGTGCCTCTGCTGTTTTGGAGCTGCCTCTGTTTCTGTGGGTGCAGAGTTAGTGCTGAGGTCATTCCTAACAAAGTCAGATGTTCCCAGGGCTGATTCTTGAGGCATGTCTTCGGTTTCCAGGCTGGTATTTTCTTATTCAGCATCACCTGGGGCTGTCTGCTGCTAAGCCAGCTCCTTTGTCTGTTTTCCCATTCCTCTGCCAATCTGTCTTAACCAGTAAATCTCTTTGTGCTCTCTGAAGTCCATGTGAGGAAGATATAGTAGATTGCTCTAAAAAGATGGCTTTTTTTGAGAACCTTGAGGTTAGTCTGGCATATTGAACTATTCCCTCTTCCCCCTTTTTCTCTGTGTCACATTAATCCTCTTTGCTTGCAAAGCACCTTTATATTGGAGTCAGAATACGAGCCCTGGAGAGGCTGTGATCATTCTCCTTCTCTTTCTCCCCTGCAGTGCCCCCTCCAATGTGCCACATGTTTATTATCTCCTATTGTTGCCTTTCAAGAGGTTTATAAATCCTGTTTCTTGGCCTGCAGTGCATGAGCCTATCTGGTTTGGATTCTAAAACTGGGATGAGCCAATCCTCACAATTTTTATGAAGCTCTCTAATCCTCCCCCTGCCAATGCTCTTGTTCAGATTAACGCCTGGGCTTTTGCCCTCCTCATCACCCTTACCTCCCCTCTTTAAAATTGGTGCAAAGTCAAATTTGGTATTTTGTGTTGTACTCTTGATCTCTGCCCTGCCCTTGCTTGCAGCCCTGTTTCTCTTTTCTATCACAAACTGAAAAAAACCCTTTCACCATTTCTTTGTTGTTAAATATCTCTGCAGTGACTTAACACTGCTCCAGTTCTCATGTTTATTCCTGGACTTTTTGGTCTCTAGACAGAAGTTTCCAAGTGATGTGACCTGAAACTTGTGTCTGCTTCTGGTATCCTTCATAAAGAAGGATCACATCCAGTTGGAGTTGCTTTGAATCTTTTGTTTGGGATGTGGTCTTAATAATGCAAACACCTTCTGACTCCTGGAGAATGCAGTGTGCAGTGGGATCCTCCCCAGCACAGCTGAATTCATGAACCACTTTCTTTCAGTCTCGAGTTTCAAAAGGGCAGCCTGATAACTTGCCTTCAGCTCTACTTTTGCTTGTTTTTATTTTGAATGCTGAGTCTGTTACTGATCGTGTGGTCCAAGGTTAATTTCTGCAACCTCTGATGTGTTCTCATTAGATATGCACCAAAATGAAGGCTATAAATAGCATCACTCTGTGGTGGTTCGTTAACACAAGAAATTTGTTGCACTGTGGTATGAAGAAAGGTCTTCTTGCACTTTATAAATCAGGAAACAAATGAATAAAGGTAAAACACTTCCAGAAGGACACTTGGTACTTACCTGTGCTGCTCTGGGCAGCTTTCAGCAGACACTGTGATATGAAGAAAGGTCCTCTTTATAAATCAGGAAACAAATTAATAAAGGTAAAACACTTCCAGAAGGACACTTGGTACTTACCTGTGCTGCTCTGGGCAGCTTTCAGCAGAAGCTCTATAAAAGCACCATTTTTTGTCTTGCTGTCCCTCTGTGATTTCCCCTCATCCTGTCCCACCACAGCCATCCCATCATCTCTGAGCTACACATTTCTGGAGAGGCTGATAACCTTGAATTCCAAATTTTTCAGTTAATTTTGTTCCCTTCTGCTTTGTCATCTCTGTGTCATGTCTGGTGTGGTTGGGAAGCAGGGCTTTGAGCTTCCTGAGGCTCAGCACAGAATTGCTGCTACATCTCTTCCTTCATGGTGAGTGCTTTTATACAAAAGCCTGGCAAAGCTGTGGCACTTCTTCCTGTACAGAATTTAGGAAGTAGCCAAGGCAACTGTGCTTTACTGAAGGGTGTGGGTGTGTGTTTAGTGTAAAACATGTTCAAAACATTGATGGGTGGGAGCCCTCAAAGTGGAGTGGTCTGTGTTGGGCTTGGGGGTGCATTCTGTCACCCAGAACCTCTGTGCTGCAGATGCTGGGCTTTGTGGGATGGATTTTCTGGCTGTGCTGGGTGCAGCTGTGTTTGGGTGTTGTCTTCCCAGAGTCAGGTTATCTGAGCACCTGATGCAGGTGAACAAGCTGGGGAGGGAGCCAGCATTAGGAATTTGGTTCTTACACAGTGCATTTAGCTCCTCAGCTCTGCTGGGCCAGCTCTACCCCACGGTTTTGGCATTCTTCCACTTGCCCCAGGCTGGCCACTGGAGCAGAGAGCTCTCCTTCAGCAGCCACATGCCTTCTGTTTGCCTTCAAATCCCTCTCTAATCCTTGCTGGCTCTCCCTTTGCTGCAAGAAGCACTTTGGAGGTGTTGGGAGGTGGATCAGGAGCAGTTGCTGCTCCAAGGGGAGTGGGTTTTCAGGAAATCAGATGCTTCCACAGCTGCCAGAGTCAAACCCACCCCTGCTCTGGAGCTTCCCAGCCCTCCTTTCTGTGAGCTTGGAGCCTTGCCATGCTCCAGAACAAACTCCATGAGTGCAGAGTGCCTTCCATCCCGGGACTTTCCCCAGCAGAATCCCTGGAATGCTTTTGAAGCAGATCTCTGTCTGCTTTGCCTTGCCCTGGCAGTGCAAAGGGGATGGAAATGGTACTGGAGATGGAGCCCAAAGGACCCACCAAGCCCTTCCAGAAATAACAAGTGGTTGGCTGTGGTTAACTCCCACTCAGTGCTCAGTCCTTGCTAATTGTCAGTGTCCTTTACAGAGGAGGAAAACTCTATGGACAGAGAGCTGGGATGCCAGGGAAGAGGAATGCTTTGCCAGAGGTGTGGGGTTTTTATTGTTGTTGATTTTTTTCCTTTTGTTTTTTTCTTTTTTTTTGGCTTCTGCCTTGTGTTAGTATGTCCTGAGGGGTTTTTCAGAGTTGTAGTTGGCACTGGGTGTGCAGTCAGCAACGTGAGGAGCTTGTGTCGACTGGAGTTGGTGTTTACAAGGAGAAATCCATAGGAAACTTGGGGGTTTTGATGGAAATTTTCCCCTTAATAAAACCTTCCGGTGCTTTGCCCAGAAAACTTGCAGTGTGAACATTGCTGTTTGTGAAGATCAGGCTTTTTTGTTCCTTGTTCTTCTTGCTGGCCAGAGGAAATCTTTTGGCTTCACAGGGCATCATCAGCGTCCCTGAGCTGGGAGCTGCAAGGGGAATTGAGGCTCTCTGTGGACCTAACAAAGGAGTTGTGAAAACTGAGTCTTTTCTAACAGTTTTGCCTCCAACTCTGGAGTTTCCACTAAAGCAAATATATTATTGTTTTAGGCTGCTGTGATTTAGAACATACATAAACACAAAAGGATGCTGGAGGATTCTTGGCAAGTAGAATCATGGAATGATTTGGGTTGGAAAAGACCTTAAAGCCCATCTCATTCCAAACCATTGCCATGGGCAGGGACATTTCCCACTAGACCAGGTTGCTCCAAGCCCCATCCAGCCTGGATTTGGACACTTTCAGGGATGGGGAGTCCACCAGTGGGTTATGGGTCTTCCCTGGGGTGGGGAGAGGAGGGGTGTGTGAGTGTCTGAGCTCATATAAAGGAATATATTTCTGTATCAACAGTGTGTAGTTACCAGCTTGATAAAACTGCAGTGGAAACAAGCTGTAGTTAGGACTTACAAAAACAGCAGTCTCATTCCAGCAGTGCAAGTATCCTGTTTTTCAGACATGGCTGATTAGAAATAGCAAAACTGGCCCCTTTTTCATCAGCTTAAGGATGGAATAACAGTATAAAGGCAGCACTGCTCGTTGTTTCAGTGCTGATCATTCCTGGCAGAATTCTCTCTTATCAGCAATTTAAAACCGCACATTTGGGATTGAAAACCTTTTATGTTTGCTCCCGTGGACTTCTGAAGAGTTGTCGTCTCTAAAGATAAAATTAGAGAGCTTGATAACTTAAAGGGTGGAGGAAAACAAACAGAATTATTCTGGAATGAAGTGTCATAGGGAATATGTGACTTCACCTTTTAACAACTATTTTTGGTGGTTTTAAATATTTAAAAGCTTACCTGCAGCTGCCACAGCTCTGTGCTTGCCAGCCCTGAGAAACAGGGGAGTCTGTGGGTGGGGACTGGGCTCTGGTTCATCTTCAAAGCAATTTCTGCTGGGAAGCCTTGTTCTAATTGTAGGAGCTAGAGATGAAATGTGCTGCTGATGTGCAGGGAAGAAGCTGTGATTGCCTAAAAGCTCATTCTCAATGTCCACAGCAAAGGGCGTGTGAGGTGGGGGCTCGTTTTTTCCAAGTGACACTTTCAGGTAAGGTCCATTGCTAAGATGGCTTTTAAAATGAAGGTTCTCTTCCCTGCTGCTGGAAAACTGTGAGGCAGGTGGCAGCTGGTGCTGTGGAGTTTGCAGAGCTCTTTATAGCTGTCTGAAGTTATTAGATGAAGGTTTTCTTTAAATCCAGATCCATTAAAACATGTGCAATGAACTGAATGCTGAATTCAAATGAGGCAATTATTCTGGCAGTAAAACTTCTGACTAAGGCATAATTTTGTTATGTAAATTATAACTTTTCAACCTTAAATGGTATTGTTGGCTTAGCCAGGGACTAACTGAAACATAGGAAATATAACCTTAAACAAGAAATCTGTAATAGGTGAGGCAGAACTTTACCCTTTGTCTTTCTCCATAGACCAGAAATAGCTGGGAGCAGCTGAACCAACTCTGCTGGCTGAACATGTCCCCTGAGCCTGTTGGGGTAACCAGTTTGGTTCTGGTTTTGTTCACATAATTCCTGCTCTCACCTCCATGTGCAGCTTCTCTTAATGAAGGGTGTTGAGCTGATTGTCCTGCTGGATTCCTGAAAACTGCTTGAAGAAAGCCTTTTAAAAACAAGCTCAGCTCATCTTTCAAACACCTTGGCACAAAACTCATGAATGAAATTTGATCTCCTGCTCCTGGCTCAGGAGATTGCAGCATGCAAAGTCGTGTTTTAATTGTATTCACCTCTTCTCCCCAGGGTACGGTGGCGAGCAGCCACCAGAGTTTTTCTCTCCCAAGTCTGGGAAATGTCCTTCTGGAAGGGAAGGGAGGGGAAGGCTGCAGGCACTGTTCTCTGCAGCAGTTTGCTGCAGTGCTTCACCTGCTGCTCTTCTGGGCTGGGCTTTGGCCAGGTCACCTCAGTGGCCTGACCTTGCTTCACTGTGAAGTAGAACCAGAGTGAGGCAGCCCCTGTGAAAAATGAGGCCAAAGCAAACTCCAGCAGCCTCGATTTCCCATTTTTCTCTCCATGCATCTATTTCAACGCCCTGAAGTTCTATTTTTATGAGATCATTTTAGTTTTTAGCATCCGACGGAGGAGGCAAACAAAGTAGCTCAGTTGCATTTTGCAGAGGAGACTAAACTGGGAGGTGACCCAATTCCAGCTGCTGGAATTGGCAGGCAGGAGGCACAGGAAGAGAATTAACCCAGGGGCTGGGTAGGTGTGTCTGCAGCACTGGGATCTCTTACCCCACAGTCTCTAGGTGAGATGCAGGTGGTTTTGGCATTATCTGGTTGCAAGAAATTATGATCTCCCTAAAAATCCAGAGGGAAGGAACATGACATCTGCCTTTCCAGCAGCTGCTTCCTGGCCTTCAAAGCCCTGCTTGGACCAAAGAGATGTAGAAAGGTGAACTAAGCCCTTCCTCCTGATGTACCTCCCCAAAATCTGTGCCTGTCCTCCCCTCTTGTCACTAGAGCCAGAAGGAGGAACCAGAGAAAGCAGCACAGCTGCTTCTAGTCCTGGAGGCTTCCTCTGCTTGGGACAACATGACTTATAAATTTGTTGGACTTTATAGACCAACAAATTGAGGTTTTTAGTTAAAAGCTGGTTTTAGGCGAGTAAACCTACAAAGTTGCCACACTTAACTCTCTTGGTGTTGGCTCTCAAGGGGAACATGCTCAGTGCCTGAATGTGTCTGTGTCAGCTCATGATGAACATGGCATTGAACCTGCTGCTCTCCACTCCTGAGCACGGATCATCCCTGAAGAGGAGGCCTTTGAGTGCAACAACTCAAAGATTACCATGGAAACACAACCTGTAGTTAGTTCTGTAATGTGCTTGTGAGATGCTCCTGGGAGAAGAGCCTGGAGTCTCCTGGTGGTTGCATTCCTGAGCTTTGAAGGGAAGGGGACTGTGGAGGTGTGACAGGACAGAGGATGCAGTGTCAGCAGCATCCAAGGGGTCCTTCACAGCTCAGGAATTCCTGAGTGTAAAATCCCCTCCTTGAGAGTGGGTGTCCTCAGCTGGATGTCACACTGCTGTCACTTTGGGAGGGGCATTGATGGGTGCATAAGGACCCTTATGGGAAAGTCACCAAATTTGCCTTTGCCAGTATGCTAAAGGAAAGGTTTCATTGCCCAGAGAAGCTGCGGCTGCTTCATCCCTGGAAGTGTCTAAGGATGGGTTGGATGGGACTTGGAGCAACCTGAGACAGTGGAAGATGTCCTGCCCGTGGAAGGAAGCGGAACAAAATGAGCTTTAAGGTCCCTTCCAGCCCAAACCACTGTGTGTTTTGGGTGATAGGAGGAGATTAGATATCCCCTGGGATCTCTGATTAATATAATTACTCTTGCTAATTTTCCTTTTGAGCTTTAACCACATTTTATCTACTGAAAAGAGTGTGTGTGGTAGGTGATGTCCAGATAAAGCCTGTGACCCACGTGTGCCTTGCAACTGGATCAAGGAATGAACAGGCAGAAGGATGGCTCTAGCTCAAGAATGAGCCACTAGCTATGTTTTCACAACTGATACAACTTAAACTGTAGGATTTCTCCTTGCAAGTGCCTGGAAACAGATTTCTCTAACGGGAAGTTCTCTCCTGCTGCAGGAAGTTCTTCAAGGGTGGATATTGCAGCCTTGGTGGCTCTTTTCCTTTCTCATGTGGTTCCTCTTGAGGTGTGGGCTGGTGCCTGCTCTGGACCACCTTCTCTAATTCCAGACAGGCATATTTTGCAACTATAACTTCTTCCCTCTCTGTTTTTCCAGGGTTTCTGGTATGCACTTAAAGCCATATCTCAAGTTACAGAAGAAAGAGCGATCCCCAGAAATAAGCCAGGATTCCCTGCGAGGCCACCAGGGACCAGCACAAGGAGAAAAATACACCAACTGCACCAAACTGAGCGTTTTCCCAAAACCCTCTCTCGTGACTCCATCTCAAAAGCTTCTGGGGATTATTTATCCAAATACTATGTGCAATATGAACGGGAAAGGCCCGGCGGACGGTCCGAGTGCAAGGGAGAAGAAGAACGCCCTGTCTGCCACGATCCACCAGGGAGAAGAAGGGGAAGGGCCGCTGGATGTCTGGGCTGTGGTGAAACCTGGCAACACCAAGGAGAAAATCGCCTTCTTCGCAGCCCAGCAGTGCAGCAGCAGCACCCGCACGGGCTCCATGAAAATCAAGAGCACGTGGGACATCGACGGGAGAACGGCCAAACGCAGGAAAAAATCGGTGGATCTTAAAAAAGCCAAAATCCAACTGGAAAGAATGAGGGAGGCCAACTCCAGGTGCTCCCAGCCGGAGCCTTTCGCCTGCGGCATCGAGCACTGCTCGGTGCACTTCGGGAGCGACGGCGGGGACGGCGCCTTCCCGGGCCGCTCGCTGTCGGTCATCGAGATGGTGGCTTTCCTGGAGCAGCGGGCCAGCGCCCTGCTGGTGGACTGTGCCAAGACCTGCACGGCCGCCCCTGCCACCAGGCCGGGCGCCCAGCCCAAGGCCCTGCCCGGCCCCGAGCCCTTCTCCTCGGCCGCGGCGTGCGAGGCGCCGGCGGAGCGGGGTCCCGGCGAGCCGCAGGGCGAGCCCGTGCGCGTGCTGGACATGGTGGCCAGGCTGGAGTCCGAGTGCCTGCGGCGGCAGAGCGAGCGCGAGGCCGGGAGCCTCTCCCGCAACAACAGCTTCCGCAGGAACGTGGGCAGGGTGCTCCTGGCCAGCGGCACCCAGCCCGAGGGAGAGGTGGGGAAGGGGGTCCCGGCTCAGGGGGACGGCCTGGGGGAGGCAGGGGTGGCCGAGGCTGGGTATGGAGGTCGCTGTGGCCCTCTGGGTGACACCGAGCTGTGGGATGGCGGCGCCTCTGCCCAGCAGCCGTTTCCTTCGGGGCTGGATAGCCGGGTGGGGAATGTGAGTTCGGGACTTGCCCACGCGGTGTTGGCCATGACAGCTGGCAGGAATGACGCTGAAACACGGATGGAGCCCCCCAGGGCTCTGCTGTCCCTGTGTCCCCCTGCTGCCAGGCTGCCACCGGATCCCTTGCAGAGCAAGAACGCGACTGTTGATTGTACGTCGAAAGAGCCTGTAATTTTCCCAAAGCATCCTGCTAGGAAGGAGCCCTTGTGCATCAGTATATCAGTCACCAAGACAGAGGAAGGGTGCAGGAAGGAGAAGCTCTCCAGTTCTGGTGAGGATTCACTCCCAGGGAGGCTGTTTTTCCTCCAGCGTGAGCAGCCTGCTGCTCACGAGCTGCAGCCACGGCGGGAGGGTCCCCAGGAGAAGCCGGGGGAAGTGGCCCAAAACGAGGATGAAGATGCTCTGGCATCTGGTAGATCGTGTGTCAGAAGCAGTGTCCCTACAGAGCCATCGGCCCCTTCTGTCCCTCCCACAGAAGGGGCTTTGCAAGTACTTGATCCTTCCTGCCTAAAGCGGCAGGTTTCACATGACTTTCTGGAGACCAGGTTTAAAATCCAGCAGCTTTTGGAGCCTCAGCAGTACATGGCCTTCTTGCCTCACCACATCATCGTGAAGATCTTCGGGTTGCTTCCCACCAGGAGCCTGGTTGCCCTAAAATGCACTTGCTACTACTTCAAGTTCATCATTGAGTATTACAACATCAGGCCGGCCGACTCGCGCTGGGTGCGCGACCCTCGCTACCGGGAAGACCCTTGCAAGCAGTGCAAGAAGAAATACGTGAAGGGGGACGTGTCCCTGTGCCGGTGGCACCCCAAGCCCTACTGCCAGGCTCTGCCCTACGGGCCTGGCTACTGGATGTGCTGCCACCGCTCCCAGAAGGGCATCCCGGGCTGTAAGCTGGGTCTCCATGACAATCACTGGGTCCCCGCCTGCCACAGCTTTAACCGCGCCATCCATAAGAAAACCCGAGGAGCGGGAGCAGAGGTGGAAGAGGAATATTAGTGCACAAACACTTTCCTGCAAGATTGTTTGGGAGAGGAGGAGGAGGAGGAGATTCTCATGCCTTGTGCTGTTTACAGTGTATATAATTGTCGTGATTTTTTTTTTTTCCCCCCACAGGGCTATGAAACTGCACATACTCAAACACAAGAGCCTTTACCTTTTAGATTAAAAGAGAGCTTTTAGTCCATCTCTGTAAATAACACTATAAAAACTAATTGTACATACAGAGTCTACAGCTGGCTGAACAAGGTAACCCCTACAATGCAGCTATCCCAGTGTTGCGGCTATAGGTGTGTGTGTTTTTAAGTGTCATGTTTCAAAATCTGTATATCCTGTATAATATATGAATGTTTCTGAGAAGAAACTCTAAATAGGTAAAGGTCAACTTGTTTAAAGAAGCTGCAGACAACTTAACTGGACAACCTGAAGCTTAGACTATAGAACAGATCCATTATAGTAGCGTGGCAGTGGATTAAAAAAAGAAAGAGAGGAATATTATTGTATAGTCAAAATATAAAAAAAGTTCTTGTCTACCTTACCCATGTTGTCTGGTTGGGTTTTTTGGTTTTTTTGGTTTTTTTTTTTTTTTTTACATAAATAAAATGTGCATTCTAGATCTGCCTTACCAGACTTTCTCTTGTAAGACTTTTGCCCCACAATAAAAATGCTGTAAAACACGTGGCAGAAACTTGGTGCTGTGCTGTAGTTCAGACGTGCAATGTGCTTTCTCTAGGAAACCTCTCCTCCTACTAACAAAGGAACAAAACCCCCCCAGATCTCTAGTACTTGGAGAACTCCCTGCTGTAACAATCACAGATTCCAGCTTTTCCTTTCCTTCCTGCCAGCCCTGCGTGCAGCAGAGGCTCCTTTCATTGGGAATTCTGGTGCTAGGTGCACTTTCTGCTCCCCCTGCTCCTTGGCTGTTGTCTGGGCACCTGCCCTGTTCCCTGGATGCTCGAGGACGGAATGTGGGTCCAGCAGGATGAGTGTGGAGTTGCCTTGGCTCTGTGATGTGCTGGAAACTTTGCTACCTTCTCTGTATGGGATTTATTCCTTGTAGAAGACTCCTTGCAGTCCGTTCCTGCTCTGCTGCAGCCCTGGCCTCTCCCAGTGCCGCGGGTCAGCGCTCTGCTCTCCGGGGAAGCTGCGGAGGTTCGTGTCGGATGAACGGCGATTCCTCACGCTCAGAACGGGAGCAGAGCATGGCATCCGTGGCAGAATTTCCCTGGATCCTTTCCTGTCCTGCAGTGCTGTGAGCCAGACCTCAGCCTCCTGTTCCAGCCCTCGCAGGGTGGATGGTTTGGAAGCCTGGGAATGGACCCCGGCCAGCGCAGCAGCCGGGGGAGCAGCAGCCGCGTTCCAGGGAGCGCAGCAGAGCGTGGCAGCCGTGCCTTTGCCCTGGCCACGTCCCTCCTCTCCCCAACTTGGTGCTGTTGCTGTTCCTCTGCCCCTTCTCAGGGCACAGATGGACTCCTGGCTCTCACCATTCCAAATATCTGTCCTGGTGCAAGAAGAGCTGGTGCCACCTTCCCTTGGGGCTCACCTCTGTCCTGCAGACCCCACGGAGCTGCTGGAAAGGGCAGGGATGGGGTGGCCCTGCACCTGCCTCGTCCTTTGGTGATTCATTCTTTATCCTTTGGTGCTGGATCAAGGTGTGGAGAACTGCTGGCTGTGGGGGCCAGGCTGAGCCACCCACCTCCAGCTGCCCTGGGCTCACAGGGAGTGACTCGCCTGCTTTCGGAGCACAAGGAGGACAAAAGGGTTTGAAGGCTTTTGTTCTTTCCTTTAACAGTGGGAGAAGGAAAATCAAGCCCTGACAGCCTGAAATGTGGGTTTGGTGAGCTCAGGCTTTTCAGGGAAGTTTAAAGGATGTGCTGGTTTTATATTTTGCCTTCACCTGCTCCTGCCACCCACCGGGTGTCATCCGCCTCCCCCCCGGAGCTGCTCAGCCTCCCTGCACTGCAGACATGATGACAACCAGGAGGAATGAAATTAGGAATCTAAAAGAAGGGTGTGGCAGCCTTGTAACCGGCTGGGAAGAGGGAGAGGAAGAGCAGGATCCCTCCTCAACCCCTGACTTCATCCCCTAACGGGGCTCAGGCTTCACCCAAACTTCCATCTGCTCCCTCAGCTGCACCTGGACCAGCAGCACAACAACCTCCAGGCTGTTGTTTTGCCAAAGCCATGGGCATCAAAAGCCTCCAGCTTAATTCTGATGAGGGGAAAAGGGAAAGAAGCTGCTTTCCTGCTCCCCCACCCAAGACTCTGGAAAACTTGAGGCTGACAGCAGCGAGGAAAGTCCCTGCGAGGCTGGAATGGAGTGGCAGAGGAAAGTATTTTGTAATTAGATAAGGGGCCAGTGAGGTCATTTTATTTGGAACAGGGTGTGAGATTTTGGTCACCTTTGTTGAACAAGGGGAAAAATGAGGATAAAATAATATCATGAGGCTATTTTGTTCTTGGAGCAGGTAAAGCCAGAGGACAACTTGCTGTCTCCCCTGCCCCATCCCTGCCCTCCCCCCAGGCTGGCTGGGGAGCGTGGGCTGGTTTATACATCATTTATTACATTGTCTGCTGGAACTGTCCCTCCTGCACAGCATTGCTGTTAAAAATTGTTCCACAGAGCAAGCTCTCCATCCAGAAGTGGGTTGGTTCTGAGTGTGAGCTCAGCCATGCTGAGCTGCCTGCAGGCTTTTTTTTTTTTTTTCTGTAACTTTGTAAAATGCAGATTTCTGTTTCCTTAAGGGATGGTTCAGGGAGAAGCCAAGGTCTGATGAATGTTGGGTTTTTTTCCTAAGAAGCAATTAAAAAAAATAAAAATACAGTGTTGGATTTACAAAGTTCAGTGTTTAGAACTGAGGATGAAGGACTGCACCATGTGCTTGACTTCCCTGCCTGGGAGCATTTGGAGTGTCTGGACTGAATTTCCAGATAGGCCTGCAAAGAAGTTGTAATAACATTTCCATTGTCCATAAGCTTCCAGTTTTCATCAAGCTCTGGGGCTCTCCTGGCAGGGGCAGCACTGCGAGAGCTGCCTGTGGCTGAGCCTTGTGGTTGGGCTCTTGCTCCATCCTGGCTGTTCCTGCAGCAGCTTTTCCCTTTGCTGGGCCCTGTTCCCTGTGGAGAAATCCTGGGATGCTGCAGCAGAGCTCAGTTCCCTGTGTTGGACCCAGGTCCTGCAGTGACTGCCCCGTGCCAGCCCCTGGAGCTGTTGGGAAGGCCATGGAAAAGCTCCCAGGGCTGGAGCCCCTCTGCTCTGAGCCAGGCTGGGAGAGCTGGGAATGTTCCCCTGGAGAGGAGAAGGCTCCAGGGAGAGCTCAGAGCCCCTGGCAGGGCCTGAAGGGGCTCCAGGAGAGCTGGAGAGGGACTGGGGACAAGGGATGGAGGGACAGGACACAGGGAATGGCTCCCTTCTGTCAGAGGGCAGGGATGGATGGGAGATTGAGAAAAAGTGGCAGGCCCTGGCCCAGGGTGCCCAGAGCAGCTGTGGCTGCCCCTGGATCCCTGGAAGTGTCCAAGGCCAGGCTGGACAGGGCTTGGAGCCACCTGGACTAGGGGAAGGTGTCCCTGCCCATGGCAGGGGGTGGAATGAGGTGATCTTTAAGGTCTCTTCCAACCCAAACCAGTCTGGGATTTCACATCTGCACAAAACTGCGCTGGCAGATCCGACCTGAGGCTCAGCTCCCACTTCTTGCACGGTGGAAATGGTGCTGAAACCTCACCTGGGGCTGTTTCCCCTTCCCACCTGCCTTTGGCTGGTCCAGGCAGTGCTGGTGTAGGGACAGGCAAGGCAATTTTGTGGCTCTCCTGCCACAAACCAAAGTGGGCAGAGGACAAAAGCTGCTGCTGCTGCTGCTCCTGCTGAAGCAGAAGTGGCCTGAGCATTGTCTGCAGGAGCTGAGCTACGGCCAGGCTTGGCTTTGCCCTGGCCATGACCTGTGCTGGGACTGCCCAGCTCTGTGTGCAGGACCCCCAGCTGGTGCTGCTGCCACTCCTGAGTGTCCAGCAGCCAGGAATCACAGGGCCATCGGTCCTCCCCATCCCATGTCACAAAAAATGGAGTGGGGGGGGTTCTTTCTCCTCTGCTCTCTGTTCACAGCAGCCTGTGAACCACCAGGGCCCTTTCCCATCCCTGTCACTCTGACACTGCTTCACTTTAGTGACTCCATCCTTCAAAAGACACCTTCCTGCATCCTGAAATGAGCTCGTGACGAGGAGCCTTTGCAGGCAGAAGGAATCCATGACCTGCAGAAACATCTCCCAGCACAGGAGCAGGCTCACCCAAGAGGTTTATCCGTTTACATGTACATGGAGGGATGTGTGTGTGTGTGTGTGTGTTGTGCAGGACTCCACCCCCTGCTCCCACGGAGATGCAGTTATTTTATGTAAGAGTATTTTTTTAGAATGGGTATTGCTTATTCCACCGCTGTATGACTGATTGCACTGTAACAGGTCTGGTCCCTGTGATGCTTTGAAGGCTGGAAATTCTTGTGTACTTTGCCCAGCACGGTGAAAAACAAACCACACAGAAGTAACAGTCATAAATATACAACTTTAAAAAAAATTACTGTTAAAGATTTATTGCAATAATACAATAAAATTTAGAAGAAAAAAAAACCCAAAAAAACCAAAAAAAAAACCCCAAACCATTTGTGTTTAGTTACATCTTAAGTCTGGAAGTTGTGAGAGGGGGGCTGTGAGTTTCCCCAGGTGCAAAAGCCACCCTGGGTGTCCCACCTGAGACCCTGCACAGGCACCTGATTTTCGGCACAGGGCTGGGCCCCCGAAATCAGGCTCTTCCTTGGCAGCCCAGATTGGCCACCCCAGGTCACTGGTCACCAGCAGAAGTCCCAGCCTGAACTGAAATTCCCGTGTTCATGCTACACAAAAAGTTTTGTAAACTCTCAGCTGGCTGCCTTCAAATATTTAATAATTATGGATATTCCTGCCCTCCCTCCCTCACCCCCCGAAATAACCTGGGAAACGAATCCTGGTGATTGCACTCAAGGTTTGGACACACACAATTCTTCCTCAGCTACACATGTGCAAAACACTTTTAAAAAAACCACCACAACCTTGTGTTCTGTTACAAAAAAAGGTTCCATGAAAAGCCCCACCCCAACACATTTGAACACCCTCACGGTGCCCTTGTGCACTCTCAGAGTATGACACGGTTGCAAATAAATTATTTTGGAAAACATGGATAGGAAGAATATGGCTTAGAAAAGTTATTGTGTTGGATTTTCTTTCCCTAAGTTCAGTGACAGTGCACGAAGCTGAGTCATGGCCTGACCTTCTGGGGCTCAAAGCACAAAGGCAGCAATGAAAAAGGGACTGAAATGCCTATTAAAAAACAACAAAAAAAGGTATTTAGATGGCGAGGTCCAGTGCAAAATCCACGGGGAAGCAGAAGGGGCTGGGCTGAGAGCCCAGTTTCCAATACTGGCGTGTGCTGGTTGCTCAGAGCTGTGAGTGATAAAGTGCTGTGAGCCAACAGAGCCCAGAGCTCAGCCTGGCAGCGGGGCTGGGGGCACTGGCCCCCATCAGCTGCAGCAGCCCAGGGGCCTGGGCTGTTCTCCTAAAACAAACCCAACTCTTGGAGCAGAGGAGCGGCAGGAGCGAGGCTGGCGTTGTCTGACAACGTGCGCGGTGCTCGCGCGGAGTTAAGGGTCTTTGGTTTAAAAAAAAAAAAATAAGACAAAAAGAAAAGTTAGAAGAAACTACTGACAATAGATGCCCAGCTCAGGGCTAAAAGAAGCAGCTGCCGTGGAGGGGTGGGTGGCACACGGGTGTCACTGCCACACCTGGCTTCCCACCCCTCCTGGGTGGGGACAGGGGCAGCACTGGAGAGGGAGAGAGAAATCCACCACAAACACCCTGTGAGGTGGCTGGGAAAGCCAGCCCTGGAGCTGGGATCGGGCAGGGATGTGGCCTCTGTCACCAAGTCCTCATTAGCAGCTGTGTCCCACGAGCTGCGGGGCAGTGGCAGAAATCCTCCCTCGTGGAGGGAGGGCAGAGGCTCTTCCTTGGCTGGCCCTGTGGAGGAACTGTCCCAGCTCTGAATGTAAACGTTGGAAGCTCTGCTGAGCAAACCATCCGTGGGTGTCCCATCCTGCAAGGCAGAGGAAGAGGAGGAGCCCTTGCTCACCAAGTCACCATTCAGCACCCACCTCCTGGGGTTCCACAAGCCAGCTGTGCCAGGGGAACCAAACCAACTTCTTGGCAGTCAGTAAACAACAAACCCCACCATGAACATACAATAAAATAGGATTAAAAACACATGTAGTGTGGAGAGCGTGTGACTTCACCAAACTGGCTTGAAATGGGGGTTTTCTAATGCTAAAAAGTGGCAACATGGTGTGGTAACCCATGGATATTATTGCAACAATGCAATTCTGTATCAGCATCAAATGTGGGTCTAGCAAGAGAATGTCCAGTGTTTCTTTGGTGTATGGTATTAAGAATACAGAGCCTGTGTGCCTCAGCACAACACAAAACTTCTACACCTACTAGTGGAAACAGCATGAAACAAGCCAGTTTTCTATGGCAAAACTGGGTAAAGATTCACAACCAAATCTAAACCAAGAGCAATTTGCTGTGTGAATTCCCTGTCCATGCTGATCATTTGTATTAAAAATATGGCAACAGAGATTAGAAAACATGTTAAAAATGCATAATTTTCATGTCCTGAATGAAAAAAATTTAGAAATATGCATTTTTGCATTATGCAAGACAGATTTAAAACACACACACAAAGGAAAACCCTATAAGGAGTTAAGAAAGTGGGAACTGCATTTGCACCACTGTCCAGACCACACCCTGAGCAGCCTTCCCTGCGCTCATCCCGATCCAAACACTCCAAAACCTGTTTCTTCTTCAGAAAGTAGAGCTGGAGGTTGCTGGGTCCTTTGCCAATCCTCGATGCAGACAGAACCAAGACACGAAGTGCCCTCGCAGAATCCGTCGGGAGCACGGAGCTAATTTACAAAACGGGGCCGTCACAGTCATCTTGGGGAAATAAAAAGGTTTTCTCCGGTTTACAAAACGGAAGTCTGACCTTTCCTTTGTTCCAGGCACTACTTAACTGAATAGGTAAAGGTTGACTACAGCCCAGTCGGGGAGGGGTTCCTGGCACAGCCCCCTGTGCCCGCTAGCGGTGCCCGGTGTATGCCTTGAACCACGAGGTGACCGAGGCGGCGGCGGACGAGATCATCCCGCCCGCGCTGCTGCTGGCGATGGGCTGGGACACCTGGCTGCTCTGGCTCTGCAGCATCTCCACCTGCTGCGAGGGGATGTCACAGAACCTGGGGCTGGGCAGGTTCTCCCAGTCCGTGCCCAGGTCCGTCTCCTCGTCGCTCACGTGCTCGTCGCCGCTCTCGTCCGTCTCGCCCGCCGCGCTGGGCTCCACGAACTCCATGGAGTCCTCCAGGTCGGCGCTGATTTCGAAGGGGCCGGACCTGGGGGTGAGGATACGGTGCCATCAGTGTTCTCCCACCCCACAGCACCCTGCTCTGCCAGGACACAGCAGAGATGAATGCTCTATCAGCTGGCACAGGAGCTGCAGAGGGAACTTGGTGCCACCCCCTTGGACGTAACACAAACACTTGGCCCAGGAAGGGACAGGGTTCCAGATCACGGAGCAGGAACGGTGGGAGAGCAGTTCTGCTCTGGCAGGGACAGACAAACACAGCAGAGAAGCTACTGGTGATAACTCAGAGCTCTATTGGTGGGAATCTTGGCTTGATGTGGAGCAGCTTTAATTTCCAACACCAGCCCTGGCCAGGCCAAGAGAGCTCAGCTCTGCCAGGCTCTGCAACTCCCAGGTCTGGCACAACCAGAG